AGCGGCTCCACGGTGCCCGCCGGCAAGGTCAGGAAGCGCACCCGGGAGAGCGCCGAGTGCCCGCAGCGGCACTGCTGGGGGGTGCCAGGCCCTGTGAACTGGCTGTGGCTGCCGCCAGCCCTCTGGCCACCCCACCTCCCCGCCAATCCCACCGCAGCCTGCCGGCTTGGGGTCAGAGCCCCTGCACGGGGGGCGGGCACCGAGGTCCATCGGGGAGTGGCCGAGCGAGGTCTCCTCTCCCACGTGGCGTCAGGGCCAACCCCGTGGGCCCAGGGCCGAACCTCCTTCCTGCCAGGCGGCATCAAACCCCGGGCCCTAGACCCCGTGCCAGGGGCAGGAGAGCTCAGAACGGCCTTCCTGAGCCCTGGATGGGCAGGGGATGTGGCTGGCCATCAGCCCGGGAGCAGGAGGCCTGTCTGCCCCTGGCCCCCACACACCCCACTGCTGAGTCGTCACGGCCCAGAGGCATCCCAGAGGCTGCTCCCCTGAGGACAACTGCCCAGGTCCCGGGGACTTGGCAGGACGCCTCCTGCCCTCCCCTCCCATCTGTCAAGCAGGGGTGAATTTGGGAGGGCCTGAGCCTTCTTGTTCCATTGGGGAGAGGCCCCAACGCAGCAGGAGCTGGTGACCCAGGACTCCCGGGCAGGAGGCTGCTCACCCCCAAGGGCCCTGCGCCAGGAGCCGCCGTTCTGCTGACTGCCCAGCTGGGAGTGCCCGGGGCCTCTGCCGCTGCCCCTTCCCCCCTGAGCTAGAAACCGCCTCCTTTGGGTGTGGAGTACGGGGGAGCCCTGGCCTGGGGCTGGGGACTCTCTCTGCTCTGGCCGCAAAGAACGGGGTCACGTTCTAGCCTGGAGGGGGCGGCCCATGCCGTGCAGGTCCTGTTGGTCCTGAGAAATCGAGCCACATCCCACCACCAGCCCTCGGTGGTGGCAGTTGGGGGGGCGTTAGCTCTCTCAGGCCACAGCAACTGCCACTCTGACACCAACATCCGCTGAGCACTATGCATGGCCACACGGGACACACCGCGGCCCCATTTGCCTCCTGCCTTAAAGAATAAGAGACTCAGAAAGAGCTGAGTGCCCCCCGGACACAGCAACCGCCTTGAGCTGGGGTCCCTCACACCGGGAGGGCTTCCTACCACGACTGCACATGGGGGTCTCCGTACAGAGCACCCCGGTGTGCCCAGGTTCCTGGAGGGACAGTTTCCTGGCTGTTTCCTGGGGACTTTACACCTGCTTTCTGTTTTAGGGGTGCTGGAGAGATAACTTGTCCTTTTCTCCTCCCTGCACTTCTGTAATGAGCATGGATTACCTTTATAATCAGGGTATCCATTAAAACTGGTCCTTCAGTAACAAACATAAAGCCACAAACAACCCATCCGCTTGACTCCCAAAGGATACCAAGAGCCTGGTGAAAATCTCAACAGGACCGAGGGACATGGGGGGAAATTCAGCTTCTCTCTGCTGTGGCCCCCAGCCCCCCGGGTGCCTTTCCGGGGGCCAGCCCTGGCGTCCAGGTGGTGGTGAGTCTGGAGGCCACCATGCAGACGCGCCTGGGACAGGCACCTGGTTCTCTCCCCCTCCCCGCCAAGCCCGGCCCCGGTGTGCGTGGAGCCCTCCCCACAGGCCCTGCAGGCGAGCTTTCTCAGCACCCAGGGCACGCCGGCCTCCAGGGGCCTCTAGGTTTCCATGTTCCTGCAATCACTCTCCGGCGTGCGTGCGAGGAGTCAGCATGCTATGCTCCCCGCGGCCCCAGGCTCGATTGTGGACAGATAAGAGAAACAGCAACAATCTCCTCCGCTAGTAACATGTATCTGTTTCCGCAGATATGGGCTTGTGGGGCCTAATGAGACGAGGAAGCACTTTCCAAAACACTTCTACGGCAGCTCTGGGACGTCAGCAGGGCGCCTCCGCTCGGCTGCGCCCGGACCACGCGCCCCCCCACCCCTGCCACCCTGGGGTGCCGTGTGCAGGTGCCGTGGCCTGCCGATCTGGGTGTAGGGCCGGAGGGAACAGTCACAGCGGAGCTGAGGAACGGCCAGGGATGCTCAGAGACGCCCCAGTGCGGGGAGCAAGCACAAAAGGGCGGGCGGCTGCGTGCCGTGCCCTTCACCCCTTGCTGCTTGTTTTCTCTCGTTCTGTTCACTCTGCTGTGTAACGGCAGATAACAGGCCATTATTGCAAAATCAATTCATGGTCTCAATGCTTTCAGTGCAGAAGAAATGAATAGAAACGGAGCCTGGCCATCTGGAGGGACAGGGCTTTCTGCTTTACCCACGGGGCCCCCAGGCTGTGCCCGCCCTGGCCCGGGTTTGAAGCCTATAATCAGATCAGGAGGCACCGTCAGTTCCCGGAGGCCGGGCGGCTGGCTCTGCCCTCTGTGCTGAGAGGGGGAGCATCCCTGGGCCGCAGGGAAAGGACTCATCCTTTCCTCTCTGCCTTCACCCGAGACCAAGGCAGGGAGGATCTCTGCCACTTCGCCCCTGGGCTGGCCTGGGCCATGCCACCGGGGCCCTCTGCCCCAGGCGCCCCTCCACTGTCTGGGAGGGATGGTCTAGGCTGGGAGACAAGGGTCCCCGGGGGCTGCCCCCTTGGCTCTGCACCCCGGGGACCACGGAGATCAGCCCACAGAGCTGGAGGAAAGGCCCCTCAGGCACGTGTCTCTGTGTGCCCCAGGGTGGGTCTGTGTGTCCAGCGCCCACCTGGGCTCCTGAAGCGGGGCTGCTGGCCCCACCGAGTGTGGCCTAGAGGGACAGCCTTGACCCCAGATCAGCCCTCCCCTGCCCTCAGGGCACGCTGACCAGACAGGACAAAGGAGAGTAAAGCGGAAGGCAGCCCCTCCCTCGGCAGACGGGCCAGCTCTGGAGCCTCTTTGCAGGTGCCCTTTCCACTCTGTGCTGTGGATGTCCACGCACATGCTCACAAATCCAGAACCAGGCTCCTGGTGGAGGCAGCCCTGCCCCACAGCCTGTGCTGAGGACACTCAGGCGTGTGAGTGTGTGTGCACACCTGCGTATGCGTGTGCAAGCTCGTCGATGCTAATCTGTTTTAGGAGCTGATCACAAAGAGCAGTGCCTGCCGAGAGTGGCCCCGGGCGGTCTCCAACGCACCGTCTGCAGCCGGGTCCCCACGGAGCCCCTGCAGTGCGACCCCCTCTGTGAGCAGCCCCCCAGGGCACTCAGGTGGGTTGCAATCTTCTGCCTTTCTGGCCCCCTTCACAGTGGCTGCTGCTGGGGCACACATTCAGGTGGGATTGCTGGGTGGTTTGTAATTTGGAGAAGGACCACCGGGGTGCTCGTGCTCTTGGTGGCACCCACAGACACCCCTGGCTGTGGGGTCAGGTGCGCCTTAGAAAACAAGCTCCCCTGGGGCATCGGAAGCAGGTGGGGGTCAATGTCCATTCTTACTGATGTCCAAAAATATCTGGGGATTTTGTTCATGGGGCCCAGGGAGGCCCCTCCTCTGGGATCTGAGGATGGAGGGGTGCAGGCAGAGGGAAAGGGGAGTTCCAGAAAGGGGGGCCAGCGGGCACCCTGGGCCTGCATGACAATGAGGTCATGCTGTCGCCGACAGGCTCCGGGAGCCACGGGCGGCGCTTGAGTGAGAGTGTGACCCGGGGAAGTGAACTTTGGCGAGATCACTGGGGCACAGTGTCAGAAGACGTGGGCAGGGAGAGAGGGTGGAGTGGCTGGCCAGAGGCGAGAGGCCTCCAGACACATCTTGGGAGTCCTGGCCCACCTAGCGCATCTCAGGGGTCGGTGGTATGTGCCGCACAGACCACAGCACCCAAACACCTGTGGGGACATGGAAGAGAAAGACCCCCAGGCCAAAGGAGGTGGATCGGGTCGGGGGCACGAGTCCCAGCCACAAGGATCCCCGCCTGGGTGCAGGCGAGGCCAGGGAAAGGGGACCAGGATGCTGGGCACAGAGGAAGAGCAGACCCAGGTTGTGGGGAGATGGGTCCCCCATGACCCAGGTGATGGTGGGGCAGGCGTGGCAGGGGTCCTCCTGCCAGAGGAGGTCATTCGGAGTTCCCATGTTCCCCCCGCCCGGAGCCTGTGAGATCCAATCCTGCAGGCCCCCAGCTCCGTCCCTAATCCCTCACTTCCGTGGGTGCCTGCGAAGGTGGATTGAGTTTCTGCAGCTTGTTCTCTGGCCCCCTAGACGGGCCCCCAGACAGTCTGGGCTCTGGGGCTCCCCGGTGCAGCCCCAGGTGGTCTGGACAGAGTCAAGCCTCTCACGTTACGGAGGGAGCGGGAATGGCTGCCCCCCCCTCCACAGAGAGAGGGGCACAAGCCCCCGTCTGCTCCATCTTGAGGGGCGCGCCTGGTGTTTCTCAACACTTGTCACCCTGACGGAGTTTCCCTGCCTTTTATAACCCCTGACCCTTTTGATAAACATCAAAACCTCAGCATCCGCCCCAGGAGGTCATGCCCCGTGACAGCCCCCGCCACGTCCATGGGGACTCGGGACTGCTCACGCCAATCCGGAAGATCCTGCCTGCTCTTTGTAACAGAGGCAATAGCCTGGGTCTGTGCTGTTCTTATCCAAATGCAAATCGCACAGTGATCGTGAATTCGGGAACACGGGGTCCCCAGGGCCACAGTGGAAGGGGGAAGCCTGTGTTTCCCTGGAGGGGGCTGCTCCCTTCGGGGTGGAGCTCCTAGACAAGGCCCAGGCAGCCAAGATCGCGGCGAGAAAGGCCGACCGCCTGACCACAGAGAAACAGACGGGCCGGGCGCTGGGGACACGTTCTTGCAGCAGAGGAACGGTGTCCCCAGCATACACGGAGGTCCTCCGACTCCCCACCTCCATGCAGAAGGCACAAGCACCTGCAGGGAAGAGGGAGACAGAGGTACCGCTCTTGCAAGAGGTGGACGTGACCAGGGAGCTCGGGAAGGACTGTCCAGCACGTCCCACTTCATGCCCATCACTTGGGCAAGACACAAAGTTTGTTACGTGGGCTGTTGGGGAGGACGTGGAGCTCAGGCGCTGCGGGCTATGACGGTGTGTGCGGGGCGGCCGCGGGGCGGGCACCGGGCTCCTAATAAAGCTTGAGATGCACTCACCCTGCACGTTCGGGCACTAGGAGGTCCGGGCCCCGGGGGACCCTGGGTTTCCGCGTATGTGCGTGTGTGTGCGTGCGCGCAGGTGTGCCCAAAGGACAACCTGTTGCTTCTGTAACTCAAGCGAGAAACAATAATGCAGATGTGGTGAAATTAAAACCCTCCTGCACCATTGGTGGGAGTGCAAACTGGCGCAGTCACAGTGGGCATGGCGTGCAGGGGCCTCGGACAAACAGAGCTACGTGGGATCCCGCAATCCCGCCACTGGGTATTCACCCCGAGTGCGTGCAGCAGGGACGCGAGTGGATGCTTGCACACCGCGTTCACAGCCACTGACACACAGAAGCAGCCCAAGCGTCGTCGACGGACGAACGGATAAACGTGGTCCATCCACACACCGGACCGTCACTCAGCCTGAACATGGAGGGACACGCTGACACCTGCCAGAGCGTGGATGGACCTGGGGGACGTGATGCTGAGTGAGATAGGCCAGACACAGAGGGACAAGTACTGCAGGATTCCCCCCACATGAGGTCCTTAGAGTCTCCAGATTCACAGGGAACAGA